CATAAATTTGCTCTGAATGACAAAACAACTAAAAATTTAGAAATATAACCACTTTTAATTGCTGGCGAACAAAAGCAGCTTACTTTCCCCCAACTTCTCTCTGTGATTTTAGGGGGGCTGCTCCAGTGGAGCCCTGGCGCATAGTGGGTAGCAGTTGGGTTGCTGACCACAAGTCAGTAGTTCGAGGCTTCTCGAGAGGACGAGGAGCTTTCTGCCCCCATAAAGACCGACAGTCTTAACAACACCCAGGGCAGTCCGGCCCTGTCCTGAGCCGGACTCGACCGGAGGGCAGCTCTGTGCTTATTTCCAGTCCCCTTCTTTCTGAATGGCGAGTGAAAACAGCAAAAACCCAAACCTACCATTTTACTAACATTCCTCACGCTCCACTGACAGACACATCTGACTTATACAAACCTCAAAATGTCTTCCGCAGTGTAGTAGAGAACTCCCCAACAAATGACTAGTACGATCTGGTTTTTCAGAGTTTTCAAGGCGGGGCACGTTGAATGTTTCTGATACACAGCAGCATGTTAGTGCAGTCCCAGCTCCCCAGAGCCCCAAGCCCTGCGAATAAGACCTACTGCTTACACGGTCACCTGCCAGATCCCTGATGCTTTTTCTTTTACTTCAACCAAGTGGTCCACTGATCAACAGGTTATCATTTGAAAGATAATTAGCAAGCTAATTTCTGTTAATGCAAACAATATTTGTTGCTACAAATTTAACAAAGAAGTAATCAAATATGAAACAGATTATTTGACTATATTAATACAAGTGCAAAACATTTACTGAGGAAAAAAACCCAGAGATTCTGACAAAAGTGTAAGGTCTATCCAAAGGTTTCCACGGAGGGATTATAAGCCTGAGTGTGGAAGGCAGGAAAGAAAGGGAATTTGGGTCACCTCTCCCATTTGTGAGAAATCAAAGTGCTTCTTCCAGAGGAAAGCTGACCTCGGGGTGGAGTAATAACTCTCGTCACGTCTGTGTATACCTGAAGACAAGTAACGAACGTGGCAGGGCTCTGGGCTGTACACATGGACCAGTGTGAGAAGAGGAGAGAGGAGCAAGCAGCAAGACCTCCTTTCCTCTAACAGCCCGGTTTTGGGGGTACCAAGGGCAGACTGTTAAGTGGGAGTCAAAGAGTGACGACACGAAAGTCATTTATCAGACTCTTGGAACAGGATGAAACAAAAAGCTATTTGATAGAAGGATCATATTACAAAGGCAGCATAAGCTCCAAATGCATTCAGTATCTTCCACGCATAGAAAAGCAACAGGTGGAAGCTGGTTGATTTCCGAGTCTTGGGGACCTGGGGGGAAGTGCAGTATCTTACTATAGCTCTTCAATCCACATCTCCGTCCAAACCAAAAAACCAAACTCCCTGCCACAGAGTCGATGCTGACTCATAGCAACCCTACAGGACAGGGCAGAACTGGCCCTGGGGGTTTTCCAGACTGTATGGGGTGGGGCCATGCAAATGAGAATGTGAAACGTAAGGCAGGGAACCCACTGCCATTCCTGTGTATATCCGAGAGCCACCTTGGAAGCAGAGAGAGAACATCCCAAGGAGCTACCAAGGAAGAAGAATGACCAGTGGAGCATGGTGGAAAGCCCTGCCTGAAACTGTGACTAAGAGACTGGGAGGCAGAGCGCAGGTGGGCTTCCTGGCTCCAGGAGGAGCATGGGTCATGGAACCAAGTGGCTGAGAGGCTGAGAAGAGGTGCTGCTGTGGCCCAATGACGGCATCCTCACTGTTTCTGATGCTGGCTTGTGGTAACCTGTTCACTTTGCTAATGAACCCTCCTGCTGGTGAGGCCTGTCTGTGAGCTGTGCGTGACTGCTGAAACAAACGACTGAAGCCGGCGGGGGGTGGAGTGTCACGTTCGGACTAGGGAAAGGAGGCGGAAGGGTGGAGGCATGTCTGAGCTCTGCAGTTGGCCTTAAACTGATGTGGGGCTGGATTCTCTGTCTCCCTGTGTCGGCAGGGAGGTCAGATGTAGGCCTCGTGCGGGTCTGCAAGGCCTAGATGCTCTGTGCAAGCACTTGGCACAAGCAGAGCTGACGGATTTCCTTCACAGAGAACACAGTAGACTTTCCTGAAATAAACTTGAACAAGACATCATAACATATTTTGAATATTTTAATCTTAGGAGCCCCGGGGCACTGTGGGTTAGGCATTGGGCTGCTAACACAAGATCAGTAGAACTGTAGGCTACCTCTATGTACCTATAAAGAAGTCAGAGTCTCAGAAATCCAAAAGAGCAGTCTATTCTGTCCTCTAGGGTCATTATGAGTTAAAAATGGACTCAGGGGCAGTAGGTGGGTGGTATGGATTTTCATGTTCAATTTTCTTACAAGTGAAAATGTGAATCGTTTACACAACACAAGACACTGTGACCGGTAAAGCCAGTGCAGTGAAGACCTATCGGTGCTGCCAGGTTTCAATAAAGCCAGAATGAGAGCGAACACGGTGGGAGTGCGGTTGGGTGGGAAGTAAATGGGGTCTGGGGAGAATGAAGAGGGTCACAGATCTTGAGTTTGAATCCTGGCTCGGCTCTGAGCTACAATTCCTTCAGCTGTTAGCCAATCGCCCTCATCAAGCTGCTGTGAAGGCGAACTTAACACAAACCACGCGAAAACATCTAACGGATCAGGCCTTGCCACCTCCCTTCTTATGTCACCAATCCACAGGACTGCTTAACAGCCTTCAAAAGAAAATCAAGGGATGCAGCTAGGAGAAAACGTTGTAAAAAGACAAAATGGTTACTTTGAAATTAGAACATCCTAATTACATTATACAGGCTGTAACTCTCACCATACTTATTCAATCTGTATGCTGAGAAAATTATCAGAGAAGCTAAGACTATCTGACTACATGAACACGGCATCAGGATTGGAGGAAGGCTTATTAAGCAACTTGAGATACACAGAGGACACAGCCTTGCTTGCTGAAACGAAAAGCACTTGAAGCATTCGCTGATGAAGATCAAGGACTGCAGCCTCCGGCACGGATTACAACTCAACAAACAGAAAACCAAAAACACTGGACCAATGAGCAACATCGTAAGTGGAGAAAAGATGGAAGTTGTTAAGGTGTTTTAGGTGAAGCTGATGGTGGAATATACATATGTATATACATGCGCTCTATATGGATTTAGATTTCATCTTGCTTGGATCCATGATCCCTGTTAATGGAAGCAGCAATCAAGAGATCAAATGATGAGTTGGACTGGGTGAGTCCCCTGCACATGACCTTTGTAGAGTGCTGAGAAGCAGGGAGGTTCCTATGAGGACTAAGATGCGCCTGACCCAGAGGAGGTTGGGGGGAAATGGGGATGTCCTAACAATGAGTACAAGAAAGAAGAAAATGTTCTAAAACTGATTGTGGTGGTGGCTGTACAGTCTTTTTCATATGTTTGAACGATTGCATTGTATGATACGTGAGTTATATGCCAATAAAGCTGTTACAAGAAAAGTGCCGGACCCCACGCCATCACGGTATTCCAGTCGCCTCCTGTGCCGTGACAGCTGGATACTGAACAGGGAGGACTGCAGAGCATCAGTGCGTCTGCATGGTGGTGCTGGAGAAGAATAGTGGAAGTTCCATGGCTGCCAGAAGAACAGACGGTCTGTCTGGGAAGAAGGACCGCTGGAATGCTCCTTGGAGGCAAGGGTGGGAGACTTTGTCTCACATACTTGAGACGTGATGTCAGGAGAGGCCAGCCTCTGGAAAAGGAGCCCGTGCTGGTAAGAGAGGGGCTGTGAAGAAGAAGACAACCCTCCACCACACTGACTGACAGATCCAGCGTCTGCCACAATGGGCTCAACCCCAAAGGCAGCTGGGAGGATGGTGAGGGAGCGGGCAGCAGGTTCACTCTGTTGGACACAGGGCTGCTTGCTATGAGTAGCATCCGACTGGATGGCGCCTCACAATTCTGCAAAGGAGGCAGAGCAGCACACTGCCTCTTCAGTGAAACTTTTATGGTGCCAAGTTCTGCTCTACACCGAGCAGTAGAGTTCAAACTTGCTGCACTGCCTGATCTTCTAGAAAAAACTAAAACGGTCAGCTGGAAAGTAGGCAGATGTTACATACAGGTCAATGGTCAAACTCTAAACTCTACAGTTCATTTTCAAATGAACACCATTGCACAAGTTCTTTGAAGAAAGTTACCCAGCTGAGAAAAATCTCATATAGAGCACATATAAATGCATATGTATATTCCACCATCAGCTTCACCTACAACACTGTAACTCTGCACACCTGAACCTAACTCAGTACTGCAGCATGCTGACCTGTTATGCTGCCAAAGGGTCTTAAGTAGGCTGAAGTGTGTGTGTCCTCTGTTCAATCAGACTGTCAACTCCATGGAAGGAATAGTCTTGTTTACATGTGATACCCCTTCTTATAGGATCTTTGACTTGTTGGATGGGTCTCATTTAAATGGATCCAATACACAAACCCCTGTTTTTCAATGTTGGACGGAGGACAGGTTCATCAGACAATGCATAAGACTGAACAGAAGATATTGTGCACTGTGCACACATTAGGTAAATTTGTCAAAGCTTTTAAGGTAGGATTGACACTCAAACCCAACTCACTGCCAGAGTGGATACAGACTCATAGCGACTCTGTAGGGCAGGGCAGAACTGCACATGCGGGTTTCAGTGACTGTCACTGTCTATGGGAGTAGAAAGCCTCATCTTTCTCCTGAGGAGAGGCTGGTGGTTTTGAACGTCGACCTTGTGATTAGCAGCTCAATGCGGAATCTCTATGCCACCACAATTGGCACAGTGGCTGCAAAAAGTGTGCTAAACACTTGTGAGGAGAGTGCAGGTCCCTGTAACGTTTCCTTCTGTTACTTGTGAGCTAGCCATGGATCAGAGAGCCTGGATGGCCACCAGCAACAACAAAAGACCTGAGGAATATTAGGTCAGGCCCAAGGGATGGTCGTATTGGGTAAGAAAACCCCCCTCTCCCTGCCTGTGAAATAGGTCTTACCTGTGAGGCGGTTATCCGTCCCTTCTTCAGTTCAGATGAATTTTCACTTAGTTTTCCTACTTTGTTGCTTGAGCTGCATTTGTAGCATGTCCATCTTGTTTGGCCCTCGACTTCAATGGTACACTCTTTGTTTTGCAGACAAAATGAGTGATACAAATGGCCACAGCTGGAAAATGAAGGCAATCCATCTTTACTTTTCATTACCATGAAATCCATAAACATGAGCTATGCTGGCGTGTATTTCTATACAACGAAGACTTCCACTATGCTGGACTTTACACCCATGATTCTACAGGCAGGAAACGAGACAGGGAAATCACTTGTTGCTGCCTTTCTCTCTTTTCTAAACCAGGCGGACCTAGGTGGACGCTAAGGTAGGAGGAGAATCAGCGTTCTCTGACTACAAACCACCTGGGAAACCAGCTGAACTCCTGTTCACACTTCACAAACTAGAAATGCGTTGACTATCTGTAGAGAGTTAATTACAGAAAATCACGATGATGCTGAGTGGTCTGCCTCATCAGAGTCAAGGCAGGATTTGTGCTTTGGTTAAGCATTTCCGGAAAGGTCAGTACGAACCAAATGCTTCGTGGGACTCGGTACTTTGGTTTGGAGGTTCGGGTTCATGGTGTCATGAGACATCCCAGTTAACTGGCCTAATCACCTGTTCGGTGCGTCTCTCTCCTGGGTGATTGCATACTGCCTGGGCTCTATGAGTAGGCACTCCAGGCACAACAAAGGGTCTCTATTGCCTGGAGCAAGAGGGGAAATTGTCCAGAGTAAGAGGAGGACAAGAAATGCCTGTACAGCCACTTTGGCTATGAGACCAGACCAGCACCTTGCTTCCACGACTACTTACTTCCATCAAAAGACTCCATTACAGAACCCTGATCTAAAGGGAGGAATGTAGAACCGAGTTTAAAATTCTTATGGATTTGAATCCAGGTTTTCCGGCGCTATGGAAGCTGAATGAACCATTGAAGCTATTGCCCTGAGATAACCTTTGAACATGAACCAAAAATATCCCCTCCAAAAACTGAAAACCAAACCACATACTGCCAGTGAGTCGGTTCCAACTCATAGTGACCATATAGGTCAAGTTAAAACTGCCCATCTGTGTCTGAGACAATAAATCTATGAGAGTAGGAAGTCTCACCTTTCCCGCACAAAATAGCCCCTCACATCTTCTTCAATCCAAACAATAACTTAACTAGTGTATATCTTCCATGGATACATATAGGTTTGACAAAGCTCATCTATGTATATCTACCTTTGCTGCAAACATACCCAGGAATGTGGTGGACCACCCAGTGGGCAGAGTTAGGCAAACTTCTTGACATAGCCAAACACCTCGAGGGAATGAGTTGTTGGGCCTGGGGCTTCAGGACCATAGTCTTGGGGGACATCAAGGTCAAGTCACATAGTCTAGCTCACAAAGACAATGTTCTACATCCTACTTTGGTAAGCAGTCTCTGGGGCCTTAAATGCTTAGGAGCAGCCATCTGAGGTACAACTATTGGCTTCTTCCCTTCTGGAGGACAGAAGAGCAATGACAATGGAAAGACATGTGGAGACAGGTAGTCCAGTGGTCTAGTGAACCACGCACACACCTGTCCCCAGAACCCGGCACCAGAACAACTAGAGGATCCTTGGCTACTGTTTCCAACTGCTATAAAAGAGACCGCACCTGAAGGTTCTGGACAGAGTGGGAGAAAAATGTGGAATAAAAGTCAAAGTGCTAAAAATAAGGCCAGGCTTAAGGGATAGATAAGAGATTAGAGGAAGCCTCAAGACTATGGCCTATAGTTACCCTTCAGGTCTGACACGGAACTCACCCTCAGGACACCCTTTTTATTTTATTTTTTTCAAATCATTTTATTGGGTGCTTGTACAACTCTTATCACAATCCATCCATCCATTGCGTCAAGCACACTTGTACATTTGTTGCCATCATTGTTTTCAAAGCATTTTCTACTTGAGCCCTTAATATCAGCTTCTCTTTTCCCCCTTCCCTCCTCCCATCCCTCATGAACCCTTGATAATTTATAAATTACTATTATTTGTTCATGTCTTACACTAGCCGATGTCTCCCTTCACCACTTTTCTGTCATCCAGCTCCCTGGGAGGGGGTTATAGATAGATCATTGTGATCGGTTCCTTCATCTCCCCCCACCTTCTCCTTCCCCTCCTGGTATGGCTATTCTCAATATTGGTCCTGAGGGGTTTATCTGTCCTGGATTCCCTGTGTTTCTAGCTCTTATCTATACCTGTGTGTACATGCTCCAGTCTAGTCGGATTTATAAGGTAGAACTGAGGTCATAATAGTGTGGGGGAGGAAGCATTAAAGAACTAGAGGAAGGTTGTATGTTTCATCCATGCTATACTACACCCCGACTGGCTCATCTCCTCCCCACAACCCTACTGTAAGGGGATGTCCAGTTGTCTAAAGATGGGTTTTGGGTCCCCACTCCCCACCATTTACAATGATATGATTTTTTGTTCTGGGTCTTTGATGCCTGATATCTGACCCTATATGGAAGAAGCTGGTGTGCTTCTTCCATGTGGGCTTTGTTGCTTCTCAGCTAGATGGCTGCTTGTTTATCTTTAAGCCTTTAAGACCCCAGACACTGTATCTTTTGGTAGCCGGGCACCATCAGCTTTCTTCACCACATTTGCTTATGCATAATCGTCTTCAGAGATTGTGTCGGGAAGGTGAGGATCATGGAATGCCAGGTTAATAGAACAAAGTGTTCTTGTGCTGAGGGAGCACTTGAGTAGAGGCCCAACGCAGGACTCCCTTTTTAGCTAGACAAGTCATCAGGGATTCGACAAATCATCAGGGAATAGACAATTCAGGGAAATAACAACACTTGGGAGGTATATGGACCTTAGAATAATCAACCATTTTAGATCAAAAGGGCAACATTTACCCAAGGACAAAGCTCAGAAAGGTAATAAAAGAAGGAATAGAAACAGGAATACAAGAAATGAAACAAATGATGTTACGTTGTGGGGACTGCAATGAATGAGATGAAGCGAATGATTGAATGAAAAATACCGACTGTGCTCTGTAACGCCAACTCCCCCCAAAAAGTTCTGAAAAAAGAATACCCGTCTTCAAAATTATACAGTTAAGAGCTACTTACATAGGAGGAAAGTCAACAACAATAATTGGAGAGATTGGAAACTTAGGGTGGCAGGGAGTTTATGTTAATGGAGGAGGAGCAATTCACAGAAGGAAGGTACGAATGGGTGCACGACTCACGATGTGATCAGTGTCACTAAATTCCACATGTGAAGACTCTTGGGGTGAGTTTTGCTATGCATGTTCTCAACAACCAAAACAAATTATTAAACATCCAAAACAATGTGTCTCTACCATAGCAGATTCTTACAATAGTCCTACGAAGAAACCAAGTTACCAAATGAACCTCTTGGAAGGTGGGCATCGCATTTAGAAACGTGCCTTGAAAACCAGTGGCTTCTGGGAGGAATAAGGCTCCCAAAGTAGATTCTCGAGTCAGGTTCAGTAAGATTCATCCAACCAACCAAAGCTCCAGTGACGAAGGAAACCACCTTTTAAAATGTCCTTGTACAGCCAGATGGCATTTTCTCGGGCATAAATAAGGCAGCTCCCCCTTATCTCAGAGCGGCTAAGACTCTAATATTGGAAGCAGCTATGAGTCTTCATCGGGATGATATCTCTCTCACTACTGTATTTAGCTGCTCTGCCTGCAGTAAGACTGACCATTAGTTCCACTGCTCACAAGTCTACTCCTCTCTCCCAAAGTGTCTTGAATTTCAAAAGATGGTACACGCTATCTATACTTGCTGTCTCCAAATTGTCCTCTATTCTCCCTTGAATCATCTCTTAATCAGGCTTTCATCCCCACCGCTCCCCTGAATCAGTGCTTATCACGATCACCAATGATTTTGCTGTTACATTAAAGGGCAGCTCCCAGCCCGCACTTTCACTAACAGTAAGTAGCATTGGACAAGTCCTTGAAAAACCTTCAATTGACTAGAAAGGCCCATCCTCTTGTCATTATCCATTTCTTCCTCCGTCATCTTTGCTGATTCCTCCTCATCACTTTAACTTGAAGCATCAGTGTCCCAGAAGTCAATCATTGATTTTTAAATTTTTACTGGTATCCTTGTTCTGTTAGTGATTACATTCAGTCCTAGAACTTTAAAATACCACCTATATGCTGACGACTTACAGGGCTATACCTGCAGCCCAGACAGATCTCTCCTCTTAGCCCTCTGTCTCCTAAGAATTCCACTTTGGATGTCTAATATGCACATGAAAATAAAAATGTCCCAAACAAACTTCTGATTCCCTTACGCATCTACTCCACACCCACCCCAGGCTCTCCTGCAATCTTCCACATCTTAATGTATTGCCACTCCAAGTTTTCAGGGCAAAAAAATTGGAGCCATCCTTGACTTTTCTCCTTTCATTAAAAAAAAAAAAATTGGGGCAGAATTGGGTTTAGACGCAGATCAGTTTTCCATTCAGTAATGCATACACATTGTTTCATCTCATTCATGGCAATTTCCTCAAACCAACATCTCTTATTTCACTTCCTGTATTTCCTGTTTCTATTCTTTCTTCTTTATTAACCCTCTGAGCTTTGACCTTGGGTAAACAGTGTGCTTTTGATATGAGATGGTTGATTATTCTAAGGTGCATATGTATACCTGCTTAAAGCTATGGTTTCCCTTACAGACCCATTGTTCAGTTGAAAAGGGAGCCATGGGGTGAGTTCAGCCCCAGACTTGAAGGGTGACAATGGGCCCTAGTCTTAAGGGCTCCTCCAGTCTCTGCTGGGCTAGTAAGTTTGACCTTCTTTACGGATTTTGAAGTTCATTACACAATTTTCTTCCACCTATCCAGGACCTTCTAAAAATGTGGTCTCTTTCAGAGCAGTTGGCAGTGGTAGCTGAGTACCATCTAGTTTTTCTGGTCTCAAGCCATGTAGACTGAGAGTGGAGTAGGCCATTAGTCGATTGGTCTAATTGCTTCCACGGGCCTTTGATTTACTTCACTCTTCTTTCTCTGGACAGGAAGATGCCACTAGTTGTTGACTGTTCCCTTTCTTTGTGCCTGGCCAGTCCCAGCTCTTCCTCACTCCCCTTCAGAATGCAGGGCCCCCAAGGGTTGGAACGTCTGTTCACTGCGACAATGACGGATTCAGTGCCCTCCTGGAATGATGCATCATGGGTATTCCTGCCTAGTCAGCACCAGGCCGGGACACACATTATGCACACAATGTTTCCTTCCTTCTCTTACCTAAAGACAATAATTTCATCAGCCATTTCTTGGCGTCTCTTGTACTGCTGCAAACATACGGAGCAATAATCCTGCTTGGGATTCAGTCCTCTTGTGACGGAAGCTCTCAGATTACAGAGTGACCAATGGAGATCTTGGTTGAGAAGGCTAGTAGTTGTTTCCAGCAAGGTCTACGAAAGAATGGAACAAGACAACAAGAAAATAAGGATCAGCAGATAGACCTGGAACTATCTATTGTTTTGTATTTTGTCCTTACTTTTCTCTCACCCTATGTCTATCTACATAAGATAGACGAACAATCCTCAGGAGACCCAACGGGGCTGGTGGTTCTGGGGGGACATGTGAAAGAAGGGGGTGAAGAGCGGGAGTGGGGAGCCAACAAACTCGGGGATAAGGGAATAACAAGAGATGGGGTTTGATCAAGTGCAATGTATCTGGGAGGAAACACTGAGAGCTGAGTGGAAGATGAGCATGATAGTCGTATAGGAGGTATGTGAAAGGAAATAGAGGAAAGAATAGGAAGCAAAAGCTATTTATAGAGGTATACCTATAGGTATATATGAAAATATATTAATCTATAGTGAAAGGGATCGAGGCCAATGTACATATATTTATATGTTAAGTATTAAGATAGCAGACGGACTTTGGGCCTCTACTCAAGGCCTCTCTCAGCACTAGAACACTTTGTTCTAATAACCTGGCACTCTTCCCAACATGATCGCTGAAGACAAAATGTGTGCATAAGCAAATGTGGTGAAGAAAGTGGATGGTGCCCAGCTATCAAAATATATAGTGTCTGGGGTCTTAAAGGCTTGAAGATAAACAAGCAGCCATCTAGCAGGGAAGCAAATAAGCCCACATGCAAGAAGCACACCAGCCTGTGTGATCATGAGATGTCGATGGGAGCAAGGGAGCGAAACACCCAAAACAAACAATCATATCGATGTGAAAAAGGGGGGCTGGAGTGGAGACCCAAAGCCCATCAGTAGACAATTGGACATCCCCCCACAGAAGGGTTACAAGGAAGGGACAATTCAACCAGAGTGCAGTATAGCACTGACGAAACACACATCATTCCTTTAGTTCCTGAATGCTTCCCCCCGCCACTACCATGACCCAGTTCTGCCTTACAAATCCGGCTAGACTGGAGTACACGCATTGATACAGAGAAGAGCTCTGGACACGTGGGATCCAGGACAGATAAAACCCTCAGGAACAGTAGTGGGATCCAGGACAGATAAAACCCTCAGGAACAGTAGTGAGAGTAGCAATGTCATGAGGGTAGGGGAATGGTAGGGGCTGCAGTGTGGGGGAGAATGGAGGAACGCATCACCAGGTTGGATATTTAGCCTTCCCTCCCCAGGGGGACGAATAACAGGTGAGTGGAGGGAGACAATGAAGGAAATAACGACAATAATATATAATTGTTCAAGGAGTCATGAGGGTGGGAGGGAGGGGGGTAAAAGGAGCTGATACCAAGGGCTCAAGTAGAAAGAAACTGTTTTGGAAATGCTGATGGCAACATATGTACAAGTGTGCTTAATACCACTGAATGATGGATTATTATGATTTGTAGGAGACCCTCAATAAAATGATTAAAACAACAACAACAAGAAAAATAAGTGAAAGCTTAAAAAGTGAGGAAAAGGGTTCGAGAGAAAGAGCACTGGCTGAACTATGAGTAAGTAAAACTGCACTGTGTGGTTGGTTGTTGCCTGGAGTGGAGTGGGACTCGAGGGGACCCTGCGTGTGCAGTTTCCCCGGCTCCACAGCGTTTCAGGGCGGTGACCTCCCAGTGATCTTCCTGCCAAGACCGTCTTCTAAGGTGCTTATGGGTTTGTTCAAACCAACAATCTTTCAAGGAGACGACTGTTCCACCATTTGTGCCTACACAGGGGCAAAACTTACAGAGGAAGTCAGCATCAGAAAACTCTAAGTTTAAACAGTTGATTTTAAAGAGCAGAGCCCTGATGAACAGATACATTAATATTCTCAAAACAATTATTCAAAGATTGTCACTAGCTTCTATGGAGAAATGCATGCCCTGTTGTTTTGTCACTAGATCACCACTTTCAAATTACTAGGTAAGCCCGAATCTACTTAATTATTACATTCATGTCAGACCTCTTGGAATGGCTCAAAGTTTCATAACAAAGGACACAGCCAAGGGTGGATCCCTGAGTTGTTGTGGCAACTGCAGTCATGGCCATGTTTCAAATAACCTTTTCACTGGAAAAGCTAATGGCCTTTCCTCAGTTTTCATCTCCCTCGGTCAGAGATCACATTTTCCTGATCAGCACTTACGAGTCATTTGAATCTACTCCAGATTACGACATCTGCCATTAAGTCACATAACAACACTTTCACAGCTCTCCCAGTGAGCCACTCTCAGGGTTCTACATATACTTACAATATACTTAGTTCTCAACATCCCTCTGTATCTTTTAAATGCCCATTCAGCTTCTACCCTGTGAGTCCCCGAGGTGCAGGCAGAGCTTGGATCTGCCACACTCCTTGCTGCAAAGTGTAATCTTTTACCCTGACTGCTCATTCTCAATGTCTGAGTGCCCCACTTTTGCCCAGTCAACCGCACATGTTCCACTTCTTCAATGGTTCCAAAATTGGCAAAAAATTTCAGTTTTACATTCAGCTTTCTGTCTGCTATTGATGCCTCTAGGGAATCAAGGTTCATACCAGGCTAGGCTTAGGCAACATCGAAATTCTTACAACACTTTAAGATAAGCACAGACACCGGGATTTTATTTTTCTTCTCTTTAGAGTTTTAAAACATCAGACACTGTGCCTAACAAGCCTAAACAGCACTTTTCCTGGGAGGCGTCATGAGTCGTTTTGAAATACAAGGGAGACATCTGCAGACCAAGTTGGCTTTCTGAGCAGTGAAGCTGCAGGCGATTTTGAGTGAAGGGAAGACTAAGGATTATTTTTGGTTAGTGACAACTATTAAAAGATTTTAAAGAAAACTTGCTTCCGTTTATGTGGCAGTTTCCTCTACTCATTCTGGTCCTTCCTTTTCATGGGTAACATCCTTGGATTCAGTTGTTTGTCTAGAAAAGTTTTTCGTACTTTCCATTTGAAAAACGGAAACAGGTGCATTTCTCCTTGCCAGTAAATAAAAAAAGATAAAGTAAATATGTGTACTAGATGTCCCAGCATTGTGTATTTAAACGTGTGTATATGTAAGGGTGGAGAAAGGTTTTAAAGATTAAAAACAAAAAACACACCAGAATCCAACAAACTTCCACTAAATAGAAGGTAATTTTAAGAGAAAAAGCGTGTTTTCGTTGTTAGGCGTCATCTACTCAGTTCAGATGCAAAGCCACCTCACAGAAAACAGGGACACACAGCCCAGTCCTGCAATATCCTCAGCAGTACTGTGTTGGAGCCCATGCTGAGTCTCTGTGTCTGTCCATCTCCTCTTCTTCACTGCCCCCTTTACCAGGCCCGATGGCCTTCTCCTGACACGTCCAAGTCACACGAGACGGAGTCTCGCTGCCCTTGCTTGGAAGGAGCACTCTTGGCTGCACTTCCAAGACAAATTTGTGTGCTCCCCTGGGGTTCCATGGTACTTTCAAGATTCTTTGCCAATACCGTAATTTGAACACTATTATTCTCCTGCAGGTTTCCTTATTAATTGCCCCGCTAACATATACATTTAAATATTAATAAATACGAGGACCACATGGCCACTATGAGACATGACGTCCCTCACTGACCCATAGTCCTACAGGGGACAACACTGGAGACACAGTGTGGGAATTGTGCATCCTGCCACACAGAGGCAAAACACTAAGGGGGTGCAACAGAACAGCAAGGGAACGGAGCAGTGAGGTCCCCAGGAAATGCCAAAGGTGGACTTTGGGGCCAGGGCGTGGTGCCCCAACAGACTGGACTGGAAAACACTCCTAAAGGCCAACAAACAGTCCTTGAACTAACTACAAGCTTTTCTTT